AGAAACATTGATCAGCTGCCTCCTGCACACTCCCTCCTCGGGATGTGCCCACAACCAAGGTACATGCCCTTGACCAGAATCGAACCTGGGACCCTTCAGTCCGCAGGCTGACGCTCTATCCACTGATCCAAACTGGTTAGGGCACTTTGGTTTTATTTTGCACTTCTGTTTTGAGGTTTTGAGGTGGGAGCTTAAATTATTGGATTGAGACTTGTCCTCTTTTCTAATTTAGTACTAAAATTTTTCTCTCAACATTGCTTTAGCAGTATTCCACAAATTTTAATAAGTTGCATTTTCATTTTCACTTAGGTCAATGTAGTTTTAAAATTTACACTGAGATGTCTTCTGGGTCCCATGGATTATATAAAGCTTGTTGTTTAGGTCTGAGTGTTTTGAGATTTTTCTGTTATCTTTCTGTTACTGATTTCTAGGTTGATTCCTAGAAATGTATATTAAATAACAACTTTTAATTGTATTTTTAGTTGTATTTAATATATATTTCTAGAAATAACATAAGTGACATGGTCAGAGAACACATTCCATATGATTTCAATTCTTTTATACTTATTAAGACTTGTTCATAGTCTAACATATAGTTTATCTTGGTATATGTTCTGTGGGCACTTACTTATAAAGTGTGTATATTCTGCTATTTTGGGTGAAGTGTTCTATTACTGTCATTTAGATCCTTTTTTGTTGATGGTGCTGTTTAGGTCTTCTATATTCTTATTGATTTTCTGCACAGTTGTTCTATCAAATGTTGAGAGAGGGCGATGGAGGTACCCAAATGTAATCATGGGTTTGTCTATTTTATCCTTTCATTTCTATCAGTTTTTGCTTCACGTATTTTACAGCTCTGTTGTTTTATGCATACACATTTAAGATTGCTATGTCTGCCTGGCTGAATGACACTTTTATCATTGAACAAGGTTTTTCTGTCTCCAGTAATTTTCTTTGCTTTGAAATCTACTTTATCTGACATTAACTCAGCCATTCCTGCTCTGATTTTATTAATATTTGCATGCCATGTATTTTCCTTCCTCTTATTTTAAAGTTTTTAAAATAAAACATCGTCTGATGTGGCAGTGAAGAAAAAGTGAGACTTGACCTATACAGACTGAAAAGGTTTATATCATCTCCTCTTTAAATTCCACAATGCTGCTACATCGTCTATGTTGTGATGAACATGACTTATTTATTTCTCTATTTCATGCTAGTGAGAAAAAAATATTTTCATATATAAGAAAGAAATACAAACCAGCATCTCCTTCGACCTCCTTTTTCTTCACCCGTTTTATCCTTTTCTTTAGGACCTTCATGAGGAAGTTAGCAAATTTGTTTTCTCCAACTGCTGCTTGAAAACTAGCATAGAGTGCCTTTTCTTGGTCCTGGAGCCTGGTGATTTCATTCTTTTTCTCTTCCATCTCCTTCATAGATTCATTAATTCTCCACTAAACAAACAAGAACAAGAACAAATGAAAATATTTCATCTGGCCCGGCCGGTGTGGCTCAGTGATTGAGCGTTGACCTATGAACCAGGAAGTCACAATTCGATTCCTAGTCAGGGCACATGCCTGGGTTGCAAGCTCGATCCCCAGTGTGAGGTGTACAGGAGGCAGCCAAGCAATAATTCTCTCTCATCATTAATGTTTCTCTCTCTCTTTCCCTCTCCCTTCTTCTCTGAGATAAATAAAAATATATTTTTAAAAAATAAAATATTTCATCTGTTAAACCAGGTTCAGAGAACAATGCGCATTGCAATGTAAGGTTACATTTCCAAAGCTTCTTTTTTTAAAAAAAATATATTTTATTGATTTTTTACAGAGAGGAAGGGGGGGGATAGAGAGTTAGAAACATCGATCAGCCGCCTCCTGCACACTCCCCACTGGGGATGTGCCCGCAACCAAGGTACATGCCCTTGACCGGAATCGAACCTGGGACCCTTGAGTCCGCAGGCCGACACTCTATTCACTGAGCCAACCCAGCCAGAGCTCCAAAGCTTCTTAATGGAAGTTTACATTTCTGATGTTTGCAGAGCCATTCATTTATATGACTAAAATTTTATAATTCTTTTGTAAAAAAACAAAACAAAAACCACATGGTTTACAGTTGTAATCAAATAAGATCAATTTTTTAATGTTTTGTTTTCTCAAATAAATCTACATTAAATAAATTGAAATTTTTATTGATATATGGATGTCAACTAATATAATTGCATGGGTGGTCTCAAAAACAAAATTTTTTTAATATCTATACTAGAGTGAGAAAAAGTAGGCTTACAGTTGTGAGTATGCAAAATACAGTTTATTCTTGTGTTATTTATTAATTGTATTATTTATTTGTATTACAACTATAAACCTACTTTTGCCCACTATGTATGACAATTTTTTAAAAAAAAAGATATATCATATCTTAGTGAAGCTGAAATACCAAAAAACTGATGTCACTATTCACTATGTAATATCTATTTAATAGAATCTTCCTTTAGGACAAAGAGAAATAGTATAATTTATCTCTTTAAATTTAACATATATATAACAAATAAAGAATCAATTTTCTGTAAATTTAATTAGACATTACTCTGAAACTAGCTATCATATTTAAGAAACTCATGAACTTCTTTTCCAGTTATATTCATAAGAATAGCATATAATCAAAACTCAACTTCACATGGTGGGTAGTAACAACATAAAATAAACTTGAAATCTATGGATAAACTGAATATAAGGCTAACTTTTGAAAATTTTATTCTACCTTACAAAACATTAGATCAAATTTACTAAAAAAAAATCTGATTCACTTCTCCCTGACCAAGGATACCAAAAAAACAGAGAGCAAGTCTGAATAATGGGGAAAAAGAGAAGGGAGAGAAGACAAGAAAGAGATGAGGACTTGAACAAGATAAAAAATTAAGTGGAGAAGAAGAAAAGAAGAATCAAGTTCCTTCCATAACTTAAGGGTGCACCCAGCTAGCATTTTCCTGCCCATTCATACTTGCATCTCCTGTTCCTCTTTGTCTAATGAATTAACACGCTCTTGAAGTATGTTCTCCTGTTTTTCAAAATTCTTGAGGAGCATCATTTCTTGAAATAATGTGACATGGTTCAGATCAGATAATTTCATCTGAATGTCTAGTTTCAGTTTCTGGTGTCTCAGGAGATGGAGTTCTGCATCAAAGGTGACAATCAGTTCTTTGATCTGAGGTGGGAAAAGATTTGTATATATGTTAGAAGTTAAGAACAGTATTTTTTTAAACTAACAATACTAATTTGTTTGGGTAAAAGCATTTTCTCATTATGCCATTTAATATAGATGGAGAATTACATGGGTGTGTGTGGTTGTGTCTAGTCATATAAATCATTCATCAATGGTCTTAAGTTTACATAAATTAATTTATTCATTAAGTGGCAGAAATTCTATAACTATAGTCCTTCCAGCTATTTCTCTTCCATTCAAAAAAGCCATTGAGCCCTAACTGGTTTGGCTCAGTGGATAGAGCTTCGGCCTGCAGACTTAAGGGTCCCAGGTTCGATTCCGGTCAAGGGCATGTACCTTGGTTGCAGGCACATCCCCAGCAAGGGGTGTGCAGGAAGCAGCTGATTGATGTTTTTTTCTCATCAATGTTTCTAACTCTCTATCCCTCTCCCTTCCACTGTAAAAAATCAATAAAATATTTTTAAAAAGCCATTGATCAAAAACGGTAAAAAATCAATAAAATATATATTTTTTAAAAGCCATTGATCAAAAACATCTTGTTGTACTGACTATAAGCTCTTTGTGAATAGTGTTATGTCTACCTCTATTATATCCCCCACAGTATTCTACATGGCCGTTCATACAGTAAACACTAGATAAATATTTCCCTCAACTTCTTACTTTGAAAATATTCAAACCTACCAAATAGTAAATATTTTCAAATAGGTAAGTACAATCATGGACCCACAGGAAACCTGTTCACAATCTTCTTACTATAGAAATGATGAAATTGAGGCTAACGGTGATTTTCCTGAGATCAAAGCTAATTTGTCACAGAACTGGATTAGGAACCTAAGTATCCCAAGTCCTGGTCTAGACCTTACTCGTCTGACGTCCTAATGATTTTAAAGCCTCAGTTTTGCTCTGATTTTGGCACAGCTTCTCCCCCACCCATCCCATCCCAAAGGAGATGAAGAGATCGAGAGAGAGCCCCAGGACTGATTCTCCTGAGGAAACGCATACAGCAGGAAGAAGACAAACCATTCCATGTAGGACATCATGTAGGCTGTACATGATGGGGGAGCCTCAACTCAAATGCTTGAAATTTATGAATGAGGGCCCAGATTGGTGCTGAGAATGGTGAAGAGATCTGTGGGTTTGGGACAGTAAAACTTCTAGAGAATTTCAGATAGCTTAAAAACAAACAAAAGAAAACCAAAGAAATTTTTTTTTAAATTAAACTTTGTGTAGGGCTGTAGATTAAGTGAGCTCCCCCCAAAAATTTGTTCAACAAATTTGAATTATTTAAAAATTTCTTTGGAGGCAGGACTATATATTTTTAGTACAACAGCATTCTGAAACTTACCACATAGGTATCCAAGTTTGTAAGGGTTTCACTTGTCCTATTCTCTCTTATCCCTGACACCCTACAAGCTTTATGAGGCTAGAGAACATGTCTGACTTGAGTTGCATCACTACTACCTAGCTCGCACTGTCCCTGCTCTTAGAATGACCAATAAGTATTTTTAATTAATAAAGTAAATTAGTCAATTAAGTCAAAACATTTTACTGAGTATCTACTACATGTCTGACATTGTCCAAGACGCTGCAAGGGAGTCAGAAGAAGTTATGTACCTTCCCTTAAGATCTATATAACCTAATTTGCAAGACAAAACTAACACACACACAGCAGCAAAGAAAACTAAGAACAAAACATGATGTGCTGATTATAGGTGCAATGGAAGTTGTTTTTTTGTTTTGTTTCGTTTTGTTTTTTAAGAGTATATGATGTGGACAGAAGATTTGGAAGGGGTTTGGAACTGGGCTGAGTTTTGAATGATGACTCAACTCTGGTAGAAGAAAATAGCAAAAGAAAAGGCACAGATAAGAAATTCAGAATTGGGGGAGGAAAGTGGGGAAAAACAGGAAACGTGAGAATACTGGGCTGGATGAAGAAGAGTTGATGGGTGAAGAATAAGGTTGGAAAGCTATAGGGGCGTGCCTAGCTGGAAAAGACACAATACGGCTGGTAGCAGGGAACTAGCACCCCAGGAGCACCTCCTGCACAACTGCTCCCAGTCTGGTCCTGATATTCCTAGAAATAAAAATAGCTGGCATTCTAGCTCCAGAAGAATTTTGAAGCCGTTCATCACCATGAACACTCCCAGTATTGGAGCAAATGAGAGAAAGGGGAGAGTATGAAAAGCAGAGGGTGGCCCATTTCCTCTGGAAGGTTTTTGTTATGTTCCATCCATCATGTGAAAGCTTCTCATCACTTCCCCTTTGCCATGGCTTCAGCAAGATGCCAGTTAACATGCATTTGCCCCTAATGCTTAGCTTTCCAAAAAGGAAGGAGTTACAAAGCTCCACAGTTCTGGGCAGAGCACAGTGATTTTCAGGAAAAAAAAACAGGGGTGGGGAGGAAGCCAAGCCATGAGTGAGTTGTGGGCTGGTCAGGGTTTGGGGAAGGTTAATGTAGAAAAATGTTAAATAAATAATTAATAAACTAGATAGACATCCCTGCTCCATTCTCTTTCAGCTTTAAATAGTCACAGTCTCGGCCCTAGCCAGTTTGGCTCAGTGGATAGAGCGTCGGCCTGCATACTGAAGGGTCCCGGGTTCGATTCCAGTCAAGGGCACAGGCTCGATCCACAGTGGGGGGAGGAGGGGCATGCAGGCGGCAGCCAATCAATGATTCTCTGTCATCATTGATGTTCCTACCTCTCTCTCCTCCCTTCCTCTCTGAAATCAATAAAAATATATTTAAAAAATAAATAGGCACAGTCTCACCCCTTACCCTGTTGGCCAAATACTGCTGCATGTATATGTTTTTAATCTCCTTTCTCTTCATAATCTCCGTCTCTACATCAATTGGATCTGCTCTTTCAAATTCAGATGGCTTTGAAAGATCTAGGCCGAATGTTGATGCCCTTGACGCTCTAGACAATGACTCTCGTGTTGTCAAATCCCCATCCTTCGCATAAGAGGATCTAAGGAATCCTCCACCTGAGCCTACCGGCCCCGCCTGTTCCACTAGGGGGGCCTTTGAGGATCTAAGGAATCCTCCACCTGAGCCTACCGGCCCAGGCCCCGCCTGTTCCACTAGGGGGGCCTTAGTATCCTCATTTTTCATCAGCTGTTGCTTAAAAGCAAGGAGAATTTCCTCATCATACTGAAATCTCTTTTCAGGAACTTCTTCCGGGTGTATCTGAGGGATTTTCGGAATGGGGATGCGCTTGGATACGTGAAGAGTTGACTGAATGTTCTTCATCTCGTGTACCAGGCACTGTATCTCCTCGATGACAGCCACTTTAAGGTCTCGAAGTGAGAGGATGGACTTGTTCAAGTACATTTTCTTTGAATGGGTCTAATTAAAAAGAACAGAAAGGAAGAAAATGACAACCCACTCACAAGGAACAGTTTCAAATATGATTTGCTTTTGTCCCCTGACTGAAATGCCTAACAAAATTTCAAGATAAAAATGTATCTGACCATTCCTGTTCACTACAAAATTACTCTTTTCTCTAGCTTTTAGGCTTTTCCCCATTTAGCTTCTCCAGAAGGGGAGGCAATCTGGCTATAATGTGTGGTATCCCTCAGCTGGCTCTGAGGGCTCAGTTCCCCTGTCCTCCCCTCCTACCACTCAATGGAAGTCCTTCCTGAAGGCGTGTACTCAGCCAGGTCCCAGGGGGCAGGGAGGGGGAGGAAGTCATTTTTTTGATCTGAAACACACAAGTGTTTCTAAGTACCATAGAGTCTAGCTGTCCCAGTTCCTCTTCTTTCTTGGCAGCATTTATTCTCATGTGCTCGGGTATCTTATAGTCTGGGGCTGTCTTCAGATTGAAGTCTCCCATAAACACCTGAGCCTCTTTGATGGCTTGAACATCTTTGGGATCTTCATAGTCATCAGCAGGTTTACTCTTATACCTATGAGAAAAATAGATAACCCAGCCACAAATATACAATAAACTCTAATTTGTCTACTTTACTATAGGTATATAATCAAATTCAATCGTGAAGCAAAAGTATAATTCTTAGCCTGCAGTGTTACATTTGTCTATAGAGTTCAAACATTTTTTAAAGTTGATATTTAAAAGCATCCCAAGCAAAATAATAAACAAACAAACAGATCCATCCATCCACCAGACGTGCTTAAATAATCTGAATCATTCATTGAATTTGGTTCATTTCCAAGCAATTTACATCAACATTGTTATTTATTCCTTTGATAGATATTAACCCTTGGAGATATCAACGCTCTATTCACTAAAAAGTTAATTGAAATATTTAATAACATAGTGATTGTCACAAAATTTGTCATAACATTTTCAAAGAGGCATCTAATTCAAAATTATAGTATGGACCTATGTATTTGCCTTCCCCACTCTCCCCAAGCTCCATGAAAATGATATTGCAGAGAAACTAAAGAGAATAAATTATTAGAAAAGCTGATAATGGGATAGGTAGCCATGAGAAAACAGTAATAGTGACACACTTCCAAAAGGCAGAAGATGAAATTACATTGATGGATAAACCAGACCAGAGAAAATCATAGCCTGGGATACTCCCAGGAGAAGGCTATAAAAAGATGAGTACAGTCTTCTTGGTAGAGTTCCTAGGATATTCCACGCACGGAGGGGACACGCATGGGCGCCAGGGCATCAGGATACAGTGCTGCCAGCACTGTAGAGGTCAACACTGAGAGACACTAACCTACCTATCTAATTCTTTGAAGTGAAGCCCATCGGTCGACATGAATATGTACATATCTAGCTCTCAGCCCTTTAGGAGCACAAACATCTATAATAATAAAAGGGTAATATGCTAATTAGACCTGATGTCCTTCCGGACATCCTTCCTTCTGGGTATGCTAATTAGACCTGATGTCCTTCCAGACATCCTTCCTTCTGGACACCACCACAGCAGGCGGGGACCACAGGAGAGGCGGCAGAGGCCCCCGGCTGCGGCAAGCGGGGGGGCCGGAGCCAAGGTCCTTGCACAAATTTCATGCATCGGGCCTCTAGTAAAATAGAAGAGGCAATGCATGGCATCTAATGTATTAATTGACAAGACTTTGTTTATATGCTCTCTCTCCCCCCTTTTTTTTTTGTGGATGGGGAGGCAACCAATTTTTGGAGGCCTTGCTCCAGCAAGGGTGAAAAATAAAGAGACTTCATTTGTATATAACAATGCTAAAAGAGGGCACTCACAGATGAGAGCATATGCTTCTGTTCTGGCCATGTTAGAGAAAGAAGGCTCATAATTATTGTAATAGTACAAATAACTAGAAAACTGAACAAAAATTTATGAAACAACTATGTTCAGTCATTGAATGATAGGCAGTATTCCTCTAAGATCAGGAACAATAGAAGGATGTGCGCTCTCACCACTTCTGTTCAACATAGTAGTGGAAGTCCTAGCCAGAGCAGTTAGGCAAGAGAAAGAAATAAAAGGCATCCAAATTTGAAAGGAAGAAGTAAAACTGTCATTGTGTGCATAGAAAACTCTAAAGACACCACTAAAATACTGTTGGAACTAATAAACAAATTCAGTAAAGTTGAAGAATACAAAAGAATAAAATACCTAGGAATAAACTTAACTAAGGAGGTGAAAAACATGTACACTAACATCTAAAGGACACTGATGAAAGAAATTGAAGAAGACACAAAGAAATGGAAATATATTATGTGCTCAGGAACTGGAAGAATTTATATGACAACACTGTCATAATCATAAAATATTATAAAGAATCTGCAAAAAAGTGAGCTTAGCAAAATTGCTGGGTTAAAGGTAAATATAAATTTAAAAATCAATTGAGAGAACTTCCACTTCCAGGAAGATGGCATAGATCTACATTTTCTTATTTTTCCTGCTAAGTACAAATAAAAACCTTGCACATCCTATATAATAAAAGCCCAGCAACCATAATGGCAGAATGACCAGAACAACCACTCAATCAGTCACTATGAGGTGCACCGACCACCTCTCGGTCCCTTTCCCCGGCTGGCAGGCTTCGATTGCCGATGGCGAAAGGGGACCCAGGGTGAGTGGCAGGGGATGCAGGTGGCTCCAGGCCAAGGCCCCTGCCCCGCCAGTCACCCATACACAGAGAGTGACCGGCAGCAGGGGTGGGGCCAGCGAGCAGGTGGGAATGGCCAATCTTTCGGTCCCTCCCCCGGCCATCAGGCTCCCATCGCCAGATGGTGAACAGGGACCAGGGTCGGTGGGGGGCAGGAATGGCAAGTGGGCGGAATGGGCTGACCTCTTGGTCCCTTCCCCACCTCGCAGAGTCCAATTGCCACCAATGGTGAACAGGGAACAGGGGTGGGTGGTGTGGGATGTGGGCGACTGACAGTGGGGGTAGGACCAGCGAGTGGGCAGGAACAGCCGACTTCACGGTCCCACCTCTGCCATCAGATTTCCATCACTGGATGGTGAATGGGGAACCAGGGTGGGTGGTGGTGGGGGGGTGGGGCTGGCTGCCAGCAGCTAGGGAAGATGACCCTGATCACAAGCTAGGCCTAGGGACTGTACCTGTGCACAATTTTGTGCACCGCGCCTCTAGTTATATACAAAACAAACATAAGATTCTGAGATATGGAAAGAAGAAGGCAGATCACAGAGAACCTTTGGACCCAAGGAAAGATATGATGGTAAGTTTTCTTTTTGCCTCACATATCTCACTCAGACTTAGAGGTAAAGAAAACAGCAACTCAAGATGGGAGGGGAGCAAGGGATGGGTGAATAAGGTGCAAGGAATTAAGAGGTACAAATTTCCAGTCATTAAACAAATAAATACATGAATATAATGTACAGTATCTTCTACACTAATAAAAGAGAAACATGGTAATTGGCGTATGACCGCTACCCTTCCCACTAATCAGCAAGCATATCCTTATGCAAATTAACTGTCAGCCAAGATGGCGGCCGGCAGCCAGGCAGCTGGAAGCGA